GGGTAGAGCCAACCCTTTGAAAAAATAACAAAAACATGGCCCGCAGCTTAGCACATGGCCAAAAAAAGCCAAAAGTAGCTCGGCCCAGTGCAGGGTTCACTACCATGAATCTTGAAGTTTGAAGACAAGGGAAACCCGCACAGGTCCAAGGAGCGGGCCATGGTCAGCAGTTGGTCACTGATTTCCTGAGACAGCTTTCTCTTGAGGTCTCGGGGCTTGTCTGAGGCCATGGGGGCCTGGTGCAGCATCCAGTGAAGCGATCTCAGCTGCTCTGGCCGCAGCTGGACACGAAAGTTCGGAGGCTGCGCGTGCCTAGTGAGACGGAAGAAGCAGCACCGCTTTGTGGAGTTGCAGCCCCATGCAGCCCCCACCTGGCATCCAGCTTGTTGTCCAAGAGCCGGAAGGCAGCAGATCCCGGAGCAGGTTGCAGGTCCTTTGGGGGACCAGGCCAGATGCGCCAATCCGCCTCGTAGCCCGCGGCAGGGAACCTAACGCGAACCCCAAAATCGCTCAGAGTTTTGATGCCAGAAGGAGCCCCGCCTGATGCCGCGGAGCATCATGGCAAAAGCACGGTGCAGGTTCACCTCTAATCGAATATCAATGCCGGACGCATCCTCAGGTCAGTGCTCAGGACCATAATGTCCAAACGTGAGTGTTTCTGGTGCTGGTCCTCGTTCAAACGGTAGGAGATGCGTCTGCAAGTTGGTACCTCCACCCTTGCAGTCAAAGTAAAAGACAGAAACGCAGGGAGTAGCCTCCACCCAGCCTGTCACTTGCATGAGCATTCTGCAGGAAGTCCACCACGGCAAGCCCATCTCGAACCTGCAGCCCTTCTTCTGGCGTCAAATTCGCGAAGAAAGGCTGCCAACCTGAGGTTTACATTGCTGCACAAGAGAGGTGCCAGCCACTTGCCAGCGCCCCAAATTAATCGTGCAAAAGAAACAGGCGAAGCCAAAAAACGCCTCTCCGCGTCTTTGTCGCCTCGGTCTCCGCAGCGCCGGAGCTCCGAGAGCCTCTCGGCCGGGCCTGGGCCGTTCAGGCAGCCGGCGCCGCGGAGGAAGCTGAAGATCTCGTCCGGATAACGTCGCCCGACCACTGGCACCACCTCAACAGTTCAACGAATCCAAACCAAAAACCCTCAGCACCAGCAGTCCCTGCAGTCCCTGGCTGAGTGGTGCTTTCTGCCGCCGGTCAGCAGCCTTCCAGGCCCTTGGGCCCACGAGGCCACGGCGGGGGCTGCTAAAGGAGCGCTCCAGGAGCTTGGTCCAAGCCTCATCCTTGGACGCCATGGCAGCCATGGGCCATGGCAAATTTCAAGTTGCCCCCAGCCCGCTCACCTTGGTCCCTTTCTCTTTCGTGTTCACGTCTCTGCTCTTGAGCCTCAAAACCGAACGCCAGACTGCTCAGAAAAACTGCGGAAGCTCGGTGTGTCAGTTCCTCAACTCAGTTCAGCTTCGACCACATGCTATTTCAACGCCGCAGCTCCACAAGATGTCGAGCAGTACCTGCAAATTCGAGGCCAATAAGAGTCAAGCCGGCACTCTTCTGTGCTTGACTTAAGAGACTTCGCTCAGTCTTTTCTTCAAACGATATACGGTAAAAGCTTTAAACCCACTAGGCCTGGCGCTCGGCATGTGGCGCTCTAGAGTGTTCGACCTCATGAGCCCGGCAAAGCATAGCAAAGCTTTAAGAAGATCAATGCAACTGTTTAGTTGCTTTAATTTGGGCTGAGGTAGATGCATAGACCGGGGGCAGCAAGCTGCTCTGCAAGCTCTGCCCAAGTCGATGTCCACCAAGCCGAATTCCTGGGGAAAAAACTGAACTGGCTGAGCTGTGAGAAAAGCAGTCCGATTTTCGGCTCAGCTGGACACCAGCAAGCCCAGGAAGCAGAAACCTTAAGAAAGCAAAAGCTCCCTACTTCCAGCTCTCTGTGTTCACGTTTTTACCATTTCTGTCGCTCTGGCTTAGCCCACGCCAAGATGTGCTTCGCCACGGGTCGCTCGTCCCACATTCTCCCAGCCTGAAATCCACAAAGGTCTTCAATCAAAGCATGGTTCAAGCAGGACCCATTACTGCGCACTTTGCCTGCGCCAAGGCCCTCCTGCAGGCTTTCCGGCAACCTTCAGGAGCATCGATTTGCTTCGCCTCCTAGCAAGATGTCGCCTCCCCGCTCGGGCAATGCCTTACACTCTCATTGGCTCCTGAAAGATCTGAGAGCAGAAGGACTTCACAAAGAGCCCTCCTCCCAAGCAAAAACGATTCAAAATGCAAACGTATGCAAAGGTGCCAACGTGCTGATTGGCTAACCAAGGCTAACCTGCCTAAGCCGGACTGCCTCTCCAGCACTTCACAGCGAAGCACCGCCTGCAACCAGGATCAACCCACTGGGCCATGCCAAGCTCTGTGTTAGTGGAGGTTTCAAAGATTTGCAAACGCAACACGTAAAGAGAATCTGCGACTGTCTGTGTTTATGTGACGGTCATTCGTAGTTTATCAATGGGAGCCTCTTCTCGTGGTGAAGCATGATCAGCAAGCTGCAACTGCCTTTGTGGACCTGGCCCTTTTGCAGTGGTCTTTAAAGAGTGCGCGGATTTCCCAAATTTCAGGATCAGATGTTGCCATCAAGCTACAGAGTTACGCTTCTGTACTGCCCTGTGTGCATCTTGGATCATGCGTAGAATGTCTGACGACAAAATGGTGTGTGGGGTGCGTTCACATGCTGCCTCCCCGGCCATCATCTCCGGGGCAGCAGCTATCCTGGCAGGTTCGAAAAACAGAGTAATGCAGGTGAAGCATGGGAAACTGCCTGGACAGGAACAGCAGCCGACGTCTGGCCGGCAGGTAGAGGCTCCTTCTGAAGGCGGCAGCCTGCGCAGCGCATCGGAGGATGGCAAGCAGTTGAGGACCTTTGCTCCCGACACTCAGGGCCTCTTGTCCCATGTACACCTCATCCAGTGTATCCTGCAAGTGAGATCACTAGATCACTGCCAAGCTTTCCTTAGACTAAAATGGCTGGGCTCCAGCAGCGCAATGACCTCAAACGGCAAAGATAGGCGTCTAACATCTGCCACACGTCTAAGTAAGCTTGCAACAATGTTCGCATGGTCTAATTCCAACTCACCTCGTCCGAGGGACTTGGGGAGAAAGAATTTCTATAGTCACATGCTCGATAGGCTTCAGGCCTCGTTGCAGGTCTCTCGCTGCCTGTATGGAGGCATGCATACTATGAACATTTCGAGGGCCCCTTGCCTGCCTGCATAAGCGCAGCGGAGCAATCCTGGCAGATTCAAAATGTGAGATGGGCCTTGTGGCTTCCTCTCACTGTCAGCGCCGGACTGTTTGCCGCACTGCAGCAACCACCGGCCAGCGCCGGGCTCGCGTGCAAGCCAGCACTGGCATAGGTGGAAGAAACTGTAAGTGGCTTTGACTTTTCACGAACTACATACCTGGATATGGCAGTGCTTCTGAGAGCTCAGCAGACAGAAGACGTGCAGATGACGTTCCTGGAAAGCTTCCTGTGCAGGCACTGCCTCGCCAATAAATTCGCATGGCGGCAGTCTAAATGAAACGAGGCACGGTGCTTCGCGCAGAAGCTCCAGGGCCTGGCATTTTGAATGACGCACATCTTTCCGGGGAAATTTTCTATGAAGGAGCAGGTCAAGTGTTTAGCAATTTTTGGACTCCACATGGAGAAGACATTGCTTTCTGCATGTTTGCATTGCCCGGCTCTGACCTTCTCATCAAATCCTCATTGTTGATCAAAGCAATCCATGTCACTCCTTCTTATCGGAGGCGTCATCAGCCCCCACATGCTTCACCGACTGCATGCTATCTCAGATCCAGCACACAGAAGTTTGCCAGACCTGGGAGCTCCCCCCAAAACAAACTCTTGTCCAATGGCAACACATGCAAAGCAGTTATCGCGCCTGATGCCAGCATGCGGCCAGCTGACAGGAATCCAGCACGGAGCCCAAAGCCACCGGATCTTTCCTCAGCGGGAAAACTCCAGTTTACTAGAAACATGAGGCAAAGCTGTTCATCAGAACTTACAGTGTCTTGCCTGCCTCCCATCCAGAATGTCAAGCGCGTGCTGCCAGCACGAGCCCCTGCACTTCATGAATGGGACCAGAGCTGCCTGAGTTAAGCTGCTTACAGTGCTTGGCCTACCGCAGACATTGATGGGGTGATGTACAGATGAGTAAGAACATAGCAAGATAAAAATCCTTGACAAGAATGTCGGCTGCATTGGCACCTGGCACAGGCAGCGATGGCAGCGTTGTGCCTGAGAATCGCTGCTCAAGAGGCGCTGCGGGAGGTGTTTTGGGTATTTCTCGAAGTCAAGCTCCCTCTGCTGCCTGAAAGGATACCTAATACTACAATCCTGGCTCCCAAGCCGCAAGAACGGACCGCAACTCCAAGAAGCACCGAGATCCCGTCGTGGTCGGGTCCGGGATTGGCCCGCCTTTGCCTCACAAGCTCGCAGGCGCAAAAGATCCGTTGAATCTGAACAGCTAACGCAGAAGGCTTTTTAACCTGCAAGCCAGGCGACACATGCCCTCGTAAAGCTGCAGGGCCCACTGCCACTGTGAGGCACGCTCGCACCTGCAATCGACGCCATCCGTTTGCAGACTTTTGTGGTACACTTGAGGTTGAGGGACAGGCGCGGTAATGCAGGAGTTCAGCATTGGCCTTAGCTTGCAGCTTGTGATGTTCAAGAGAAGACGGGTCGTGCGGGGCCACTGCGTATCTGGCATGTGGCATCGGGCTCGCAGCCGTCGGACTGACACGCAGGCGCTAGATGATCTCACCCAGGTTGGCCGCGCACTATTCGAGGTTCCACGACTTTATGACGGATGCTTGGTGTGTATTCTGTTCCTTGTGCTGCTATGTGGATAGAGATCTGGCAAGGAGTCCGCGTACGACAGACACCCTTAAGAGAGGCAAGTACCCAATGCCTCGCCTATCAGAAGCGCACTCTCCCATTGCAGAGTTCGCAAGCAGACGCCAACCTCAGCTGGAACATGCAACCTGAGCCACACGCAGGACTCCACTTGCAGTGGAGGAGCTGCTGGACCATAGGTAAGGAGACCTGCGGCTCCAGAACTTTCGTCCGTTTCAGTGCAGGGATCTTCTGCCTGTATCGTCCAGGCCCTTTGCTTCCAAGGCCTGTCACTCTTAGGTCGCACGCAGTGTACAATCATCAGAAGAAAGGAGTTCTGCCTGCAGTGTCGCCAGGCACTCCGCCCACTGGAGGCCTTGCAAAATCGCGCATTGCCGCAGGCCGAAGCTAAGTCCAAGAGTTCAAGGTCGGGCCTTCCATCTGTGCAGTCATCACCTGCTCTGCTGCACACGAGTCCCTCTGAGCTGGGAGAACAGCAAAACGATGCTTGCACGTGCTGGCCATGTGGTAGGTCAGGCTCAGCCCATCAGTGTCCAGGCTTTGCTCTTCCATCTCCTTCACTGCGGGTTTGAAAACTCTGCCATCGGTGTCAGGAAACTCAGGCCGACAATGCTTTTACGGCCTTGCTCATCCATGCAACTTCCATGAGATGCGTCGCCCCCATAGGCCTTGAGCAGCCAGAGCGCCCATTCCCACGATGAGCCTCGCTTCAGTCGTTTAAGTTCAAGCTCTTGTGGCCCTGATGCATGTCACGGATCTCTTGGACCTGCACCATTGCACTGCTTGATTACGGTGTTGTAGGAGAATGCGTCAGCGACCCGCACCTTCAAAGGATAGTTGATGCAAGCTGCCAACTTTAGATTCGGATGTATTCGGATCTGAGACTGGTGCAGACTGCAGACCTCGCCAGGAGAACATGCACGGTCAACAAAACACCTACATTCTTCACATGTCGAGTCTCCTACTGCTTGCAGGTGACAAGCGCATCTTCGTTTGGCAAATTACCCTTTGTCAAGGAAATTGACGGGGCTGAGGCGGAGGAGGCTGCAGAGCGCTGCTCGCCAGCCCTGGAAGAAACTGGATGCCAGACAAATTGGGTGCATTCGGCTCTTTGGCCTGTGAAGCCATGGCTGCATTCCACAGGGCCACGGACGGCCTTACGCAGGGCAAATGGCTCTTGTTGATTCGAGCCCCCAAGGCTGGGTTGCTGAGGCGGTCACGCTCGTTGCACCTGTGCAAGCATGCTGTCACAGGAACAGCTAGCAACAGTCTCCATGTTCAAAAAGAAAACGGAAACTGCTAAGTTACACGAGGAAGCGCGTTGGCGCCTGCAGAAGCACTGCAAGGCCTCTTGCCCATTGGCTGGCCTCTGAAAAGAATGTAAATGAC